CCTCCCCTCCCCGTCCCGTCCTCTCTCTCTCTCTCTCTCTCTCTCTCTCTCTCTCCCCTCTTCTATTCTTCCTCGTGTTCTTCCTCCTCGTGCTTCTCGCTCCGCCTCGTCCCCTGGCCCCCTGCTCGTCTCTCTCCTCTCTTTCTCCCAATGCACACTGGCCGCGAGTCGAAACGAGGGAAAGGGAGGATCCGTAAGCTGCGCTATCTGGGGTTAAAAAGTATCCTGACCCCGCACGACGCACGGTCTCGATTCACGGTGGATTCTCGTAGTCCTCGTCGCCGTTCCCGTCTCGGTACGTCTCCCTCGTAAAAACGTCCGGCCTCAGCGATCTATGTACCGCACTAGAAACGCGCTTCTCGGATCCGTCGCGTCTTCGCGGCAGTAGTACGCGTTAGATAAATCGCAATTATGATTCGCGTGGGAGTTCGCGCTCTGAACCGTGCGAGAAATGGTTGCTTGTAATTTGCTTGTGACAAAAAATTACGCTTTTTTTTTCCCATTTTCCTTATCTCTATATCAAGTCGTTTTTTTGCGTATGCAAGTCTAAGAGACTTGCAAATAAAATGTAAGATACAAAATGCGAAGTGTGTCTTATATGTGACACGAAACAACGAGTACCGATCCGCGCGCTGCACATTCAAAGTTGTCCTTCCGGCATTGGCGCGATCGGCCGGTCAGTTTCAGAACTCGACTTCCAATCGGCCACGCGTCCGGCCGAGAACCAGTTCGCGCAGAAGAACGCGGCCTGACACTCGGGCCCGCAATATTTGACACACGGCAGCCAATCAGATTATCAGATTAAAGTTGAACGGGCCAGCGATCGTCGGCACAGGTGCGGTTCGTTTCGGTTGTACGAGAAAGAGAGAGAGAGAGAGAGAGAGAGAGAGAGAGAGAAGAGAGAGAGAGAGAGAGAAAGAGAAGACTCTCGCGGACGCGCATTGACGTGCACCGACGGTTCGTGCTACCATTTTGCGACATCTGTTCCAATAAATCCGAGCAGCTCCCGATGAAACAGAACGAATGTCGCTTCGCTTTGCATCTCGATTAGATTAATTATATTGATCAGTCGGTTCCTAGCGACAAAACGACGATAAAACTTTAGTGACACAAAATATTGTTTCACTGTTAAACATTAATGCTAATGACATTTGATATAAATTATCATTCAACTTTAACATGCGCATTTTATTTTGCACAATGTGACATTTATTGTGGAACATCCAATCAGATTATCAGATCGAGTTGACGCGAAGTGAGAAATAAAAGACCAGACTACTACTTTACGATCACCTGTTCCGATAAAGTAGTCTTCGCGTGAGCGCTTCTCGAATCACGCGAAAAACGCGATCATTAGGGTGTCACAAGCGAGGAAAGAGGGATCGTTTCGACGACGCTTCGGGCGTCCGTTAAAACCGACGTAGACGAAGCCCTTATTGGGAAGCAGTTGTTCAGTTCGCGGACGATTCTTCCATAAAATCTAACGACAAAGTGAAGGACGCGCCTCATTTTACGGTCGAGTTTATGGCGTCTGAAAAAGAATTCGGCTAGAAAAGATTCGGTTTTATCTTATCCGCGGAACGAACGGCCTTTTCGGTTTGATCGGGAAAAAAAAAAGAGCAAGGTGTCCGGAACGACGAATTCGAAGGTTGTGATAAAAAAATAGAAACGAGGCGTATCGTTATGCACTCACTTGACGTCGTTTTACTAGATTGTCGGAATCTAGTGACGTGCATAGAAAGTACGGCGCGACGGTGATTGACACGTGGATCGCGGATAGAAAGCGAGATTAACGACATTGGGATGGATCGTGTTGGAAATCGGCATTGTAAACGCACGACGAACGGGTCAATCGATACATACCGGTAGTTTGCTCGCTCCCTGGCTCGCGAGAGTCCGGCGCGAACACGAAACAAGACGGCCGTTGTTGAACAGCAGTTTCGCAGCACGCGGAAGAAGCGATAACGACGGTAACAAGCGTCTTCGTTAGAAGGCTAAGGTGCAATCGGCAACTGCTCATCAGAAAGTCGCGCCGCTTACTCTCGCGAGCTTTCTCGCTTCGCACGCGCGATTATGCATCTCAGCAATTCACGGACAAAAATCGGGAGAACTGCTAGACGAGCGTGCACTCGCATAGTCGGTTTAACACGCTCTCCTTGCGAATCGGATATTATCTCGCGCTGGATAAAAAAATTTGAAAAATCCCCGTCTAAATCATTCACCGTCTTCGCCGTGCATAATCCAAAACGCGGATAATTAGGATGAATAACGCAGTGAGTTTGAAGGTGATTTTGCCGGGAATTCGCGGATCGAGTATTTCGTACTTTTCGAGGCCCCGGCATTCTTGTCGAAAGAATGCGCGCTTCTTTCTCTCTCTCTCTCTCTCGAGTGCCGGTCGGGAAGACACGGGCCGAACGAGAAGATCGGAGCGGGCAGAACGAAAGAGAAGGATGCGAGTGCGAGGAGAGAAGGAAGAGGAAGAGGAAAAGGGGGAGGACGAGGAGGAGGACCGTCGTCGTCGCCGAGGTCGCATAAATCGTCGTGAGTCGGATTCCGGGCAGCCGAACGCAAGCCGCCATTGTCCGAGACTTTTTGCCCCTCTCTCCCTGCCGCGGAGGCTGCCGCTGCGGAGAGCTGCACTCTTTGCATATGCTTTAAATATCGCCGCTCGCTTTGAGGGCTTCCAGCACCACGTCCTCTCCTCTCCGTTCTCTCTTCTCTGCGCGAAGAAAAGACAGCGAAGCGCGGGGCGAGGAGCGCGGAAGGGTGAGAGTAGGAGGAATGAGAGATGAGGAACGTCGAGAGAGGAGCCCAAAGTTCGCTGACTGTCGACTGCTCTCGCCCGCGAATGGCATTAGATGCATCGCGCCCCTGCGATTTGTTCGCCGAAGGCGTGTTCGAGCGCGATACGCGTTAAGAGAAAAATAAAATGAGCGATTTTACGGCGGGATTTATTTCAGTCACTTTTACATCTGCAAATTTAATCACCCGCATTTTCTTTAAACAACGACGTAAAAGACGAATAAAAAGGAGGGGGGGGAATTGATATTTGGAGAACCACCTCGACCGAACAACGGTAATCTTATCCGCGCGACACATCGTCCATCTTTAACGAATTTAACGATGACACCATAAAGATCAACGCGCACTACAGTCATTTAAGGCTGGCTATAAAGATACATCCGGATATAACGCGTGAAAACGATCCGGCCGTAACGTCCCGAAATAGCGTATAATCCGCCACTCTCGTCGATGATCAAATCGTCAGAAATGTTTGTTTGAGTTAATAATACGATACCACGGTATTTACACTATCCGCTTTATGTTAATTGTTATGCTTTCATATGTCATAATACATAAATTATTCTACGCGATAAAATCCAGTTGAATTCCTTACACAAACACGACGTTTTGGGTAAATATTCGGCGGGACAAACACGTCGAATTCGTCAGTTCGAAGGTGTATGTTTCTTTCACAAGTGCACGCCGTCCCTTTTTCCCCGCCACCGAGTTCCCGTCATGATTCTTTTCTCCGTTCTCGCCGATCTCCGCGGATCTCTTCTCCTCTCTTCCCGAGTCGCTCTCTCGTGCGCTTCTGCACGTCGTGCTTTCGCCGGACTTGCAAATTTCGCGCGGCAATCGCCTCTTCGGAATCCGCACGGCGAGCGGCTCGGACCTCGGAGAGAGGAACCCGACCTAAACCCGTGCCGTGAAGATTCGCGGATCGAGATAGCGCGGCGCGCTGCCACGCCAGCGACGACGAATACTCGCGGTCTGATTTGCGTA